ACCCCCCCCCCACATTGGAGGAGGAGAGGGAACGACCCCGAACCCTCACGACGGCCGCGGGACGAGACCGGCGCCTCGGGCGGGGTAAGTGACTACGGGACCTTCTGCGGTGGGGGGGAGGGTAGCGGGGAGTGGAAGCAGCCCGGGGCGGGGGCCTTTTGGCGCCCGTGGACAGGTGCGTTACGGGGATAAACCCCACCTGTCGTGGGAGGAACGTCTACTTCGTTCTCCCCCCACTTAGGGCCCCGGGCTGGGACCCGGTGGAGAGGGCGGGCCCGGGTCTCCCACGTCTCCCCTCCCTACCACGACACCCCAACCCACGCAACCCCGCAGGGGGTGACTAGAAAAAGGGGCGAAGACCCTTTCATTTCGACTGCCCCGAGGGGGACCTGACCGACAGACAGGCCGCCGGGGGCGGCCCCGCCTCCTCGCCTAGACACCCGGGCAGACTGGTACCCCGGGATTGCCCCAGAGGAAGCGGAACCACGAGTTCGCTGATCCCCGGTCCGGACTCGCGGCCGGGTGATCGCACTCGAACGGCTAGACGGCGGGTCCGCTGAACCCCCTTGCCCCACCAGGAGGGGGCGTTCGCACCCACACAAGCCGTCACAGGCTGATTTTGTACAGTAGAGCATCGTTGCTTTTCTGGAAATTCAAGGGCCAGTGTAGACAGCTCGCAACTTATTCCGGAAAAGCAGTTGATTTTCCGGAATAAGTGGCCCAGTGTAGACACAGCCAAATAGAGAGGATTGATGGTCCAGTAGTCAAGGTTAGCCAGCAAATGTGGGTTCAGTTCCAAGTATCACCAGAGACTTCCTGTGTAACCTTGGGCAAGTTGCTTAGTCTGTCTGTCCTGGGTCCTCAAAAGCATTTAACTACTAACTTCTATGGAAATGAAATGTCTAAAATACTTTTCAGGCCTTTGCATTTCAGTTCCTCAGCTGTAAAATGGAGACAACAGCATTTCTCAACCTTGCAGATTTTGTGAGGATCAGTTTATTAATGATTGTGAAGCATTCAGCTACTATGGAATGGGGGCTTATGGGAACCATATTATTATTATTTATTAGCAGTACTATAGTGCCATAAAACCTTGCTAATTATCTTACACAGTTATCTACTCTCCAAAAGTTTCTTTTTCAGTGCACTGTTTTCTCTGCTCCCTTGAAGGATATTGACTCTCAGCAATGAATTACACTAAAAAAAATTCATGTATGCATATTAAAAACCATCCTTATTGGAGCAGCAGGTCTCAGAATACTGAGCACGAAGTACCTAGTCTAAGTATGAAAACAATGAGAACAACTCAATCTATTTGCATTCAGTTAAAACAACATACAACTTTACAGTTAACTTTATTTCTACATTCTGAAAGTTAGCCTGAGCTGGAGTGAAGCCAGGTGGCCTATGAATATTGTGCAGAGAAACTCAATCACAATCCACTTTTTTCTAGCAAAAGATTAGTGGCAACATGTCTGGGCCAACCAGCAAGTATACAGCAAGGACTTACTTGCTCAGAACTATCATGGAAGTTATTGAGGGAAATTCCTCCATGGGCACAAAACCAATTAGCCAACTGGCCCCTATACAGTTCTATTATACAAAGTGGAAGTATGTAAAATCCTGAAAGGTATCAAGGACCAAATGCTGCCTTCCATTAGTAAGGGAAGCAATACAAGTGGAACAAGGGTGGGGAAAATGGAAGTAAAGAAAAAGAGATGACTCCTTCCCTGCACTGCCTAGATCCTACAAAATGTACATGACCCCAAGTCTCCAAACAGGTGAGTAATCCAATTCCTAGTAGGCGCTGCACTTACATATGTCTAAAACTAAGCACACACATACCTCTTATTGAGGTCAATGGGATTTAAGCACATGCTTAAAGTCAAACTCTTTACCCAACTGGGCTACATCTAGACTGCATCCTTTTTTCGTAAAAGGGATATAAATTAGACGTAACGCAATTGCTAATGAAGTGGGGATTTAAATCTCCCCTGCTTCATTAGCATAAAAATGGCTGCCGCTTTTTTTCGGTACGAAGCTTTGCCGGAAAAAAGCGCCAGTCTAGACGTGGATCTTTTGTAAAATAAAGCCTTTTCCAAAAGATCCCTTATTCTGTAATTTTTACGGAAAAGGGATGCAGTCTAGACGTAGCCCTGCGGTGTGGGGAAGTTGGGGATCACTAGGTCAGCATGGGGATATAATGAGGGATGGAGCGAGCAGATTGCTAGTAGGAAATCCATGCAAAAGATGGTGCCTGAAACAATATCAACTTCCTCTTTGGTGGGACCAAGTTTAGGTGCAGTAGAGAAGAGCTTACAGCTGTATACCTTTTGCTAGGGCAAAGCTCTGTGATGATTACTGAAAACAATAGGAGAAAAAATGAAGCTCCACTGTAGCATAACTCAATGGAAAAAGCTTTTTAAATAGTGAGAGCCAAGTCAGTTTTCTCTGACACAAGTAAGCAAAATATTTTGTCTTTTATTAAAAGAATATGTAGCAACACTGTGTGGGGTCAAAGGCTGCTGGAAAATATGGGTCAGAAAAGAAAGCCTGGATTTCTTAAAATTTATGTACTACTGAGAATCTTGGTGTCCTTGGCCACAAATATTTCAGAACAATTCAATTTGATTCTGCAAAGGGCTTGTCATCCAGGAACTGAAGAAATACAATAAACCCTGAGGTCTATTATTCACTTACAATATACATTTCAAACAATATGGTCTTGAGAGCAACTTGATCAATGTAGCAGAATTATTTCATGTTGCAAGGGTATTTTTTCCAAGGCTAAAGTCCTTCACTTCAACAGCAACACAGGAAATATTTTTCACTGAAACATTTCCAAGGACATAGATTCTGCAATGGGCTCTTCTGCAAAAGCAAACAAAAAAACACACATTCCCCCACACCCCAGACTGAGCCCCACTGACTTCAATGGGGATCTTCTTGCATAGGACTCATTACAGAAGAAGGACTATAGCAAATGGCTACGTCTAGACTGGCATGATTTTCCACAAATGCTTTTAACGGAAAAGTTTTCCGTTAAAAGCATTTGCGGAAAAGAGCATCTAGATTGGCACAGACGCTTTTCCGCAAAAGCACTTTTTGCGGAAAAGCATCCATGCCAATCTAGACGCACTTTTGCGCAAAAAAGCCCCAATCGCCATTTTCGCGATTGGGGCTTTTTTGCGCAAAACAAATCTGGGCTGTCTACACTGTCCCTTTTGCGCAAAAGCTTTTGCGCAAAAGGACTTTTGCCCGAATGGGAGCAGCATAGTATTTCCGCAAGAAACACTGATTTCTTACATGAGATCGTCAGTGTTCTTGCGGAAATTCAAGAGGCCAGTGTAGACAGCTGGGAAGTTTTTCCACAAAAGAAGCTGCTTTTGTGGAAAAACTTGCCAGTCTAGACACATCCCTCATGTATAAAGTGGTATCTAGGCATTTAGATATCATGACATTTTAGAGCTCTCATCTAATTCGATATAGGTAATCATGTTCCATTATGAACCCATCACTCTTCCCCTTCTGCTGTCATACACACCCAATTTTATGAAATTTGCTTTTGGGAATCAACTTGTCCTTGACTGGCTTCTTCTGAAAGGGGAGTTTAATGTTTAAGTTTGAGCAAAATGACTCCAGCCATATGTCAATACACTTTTCCCATTGCAAAAATATTCTAAACACACTATCCAAACAATGCTTTAGTAAAATGGAAAGACATAAAATTGAAACGTGGGTTAGATGTTATTTTCACTCAGGCTTAGTCACTTTAGACTAGAATTATGGGATGTAGGTGCCAAATGATATAAATA